CGAGTCCCGCCAGCTGTCCTGGCCCCGGGCAGGGCGGGCCAGACCCACGCGTGCCTTCTGCTTCTTGTCCCCTAGCTGCGCACCAGACCACGCGTGCCTTTTCCTGCTGTCCCGACCCCCGCCCTCGCTGTCCCGCATACGAATGGGCAAGACCCCCGCTTTTGCCTGCCGGGCCCCCATGAGGGCAGATCCGGGACCACACCCAGGCAGGCCGCCCTGCCTCACCCTCTCAGCCCCTTGCAATACCCGCAGGCTCCCGGGAAGGGGGGCCGGGGCCGCCAGGGCGCGGCTGTGGCCCACGTTGCACCTTCCCCAATGTAGATCTTTCCACTCCTGCCCGAATCAGGCCTTCTATCCCGAGCGCGTGGGCGGGGGATGGCCTCTTCCTGGAAGGGGAACGGGGTACCCAGCGCTGCCCTCGTGGTTACTGTTATCACTGCGGTCCTTGTTGGCAACTTAGTAACGGTTCACGTGGGAAAATAGCTCTGGGCGCCACGTCAAACTAGATTCCCAGGTGTCCCTCGTCTCTGCTCCAGACTCCCCTGGACTGGATCACCCAAGGTGGTGGTGTTCATAGGAGAGCCTGGAGGAAGGTGGATGGGACCGTGTGATATAGCTGTATTTCTATTAAGTCTCACATATTTAGTACCTAAGCTTCTTATAAGATCCTAGGTCAATGGTTCTCAACCTTCTGGCCCTTCAAATACAGTCCCTCATGTTGTGACCCAACTATAACATTATTTCCGTTGCTACTTCATAACTGTCATGTTGCTACTGTTATGAATCGTCATGTAAATATCTGATATGCAGGGTGGTCTTGGGCGACCCCTGTGAAAGGTGCGTTCGACCGCCAAAGAGGTCGCGACCCACAGGTTGAGAACCGCTGTCCTAGCTGCTCAGTAATACTAATAGTGCCTCCAGTGTTTTTCTAAATGAGCTTGTTTAATCTCTGCAGCTAGTGAGGTGTCCTCACCCCGAGTGATGAGGAGCCTGAGGCACGGAGGGGGACGCGCCTGGCCCTGTCCGTGTAGCGGAGAGCAGGCTGAGCCAGGGGGCGGAGCCCAGGTTCGGGTCTGCTGCCCTGGCCTGGTTTGGGCTCCCCAACCTCCCTGACTGTCCCCCTCCGCCCGCAGGGTGGCCACAGACCACAACTCAGACAACACAACAGCGGTGCTTCGGGAATGGCTGGTGTCCGTGAAGAATCTGTACCACTCGGTGGAGTGGCGGCCGGCAGAGGAGCCCCGGTGAGTGCCAGGCCCTGCCCTGAGCGAGCCCTCCCCGTCGGACTCAGCTGCACCCCTGCCCACACGCCCTCCACGGATTCCCATTGTCCAGCCTCAGAACCCTGGCCCCTCCGCCCCTGGCTCTCTAGCCGGTTCTGCAGCCTTAAGTGCCAGCCCTGGCTCTTCTGACTCCTCAGCTTCACAGATTCTGAGTCTGGGAGGACGGTTCCACTTTCCATTTGCTCTGTGTTCTCTCCCAGTGGCTCTGCCTCCTCTGATTTTTCTTCCTTCTCTATCGATTGCCCGGACGTCCTCCCCTCCGGGCCTTGGCACCAGCCTGCCCCCTGCTGCAGACATCCCTGCCTCCTCCTGTGTTCCCCATGCTTGCTTCTTCCCCGCCTGCAGATCCAGCTTAGCCGTCCCCTCGGCCAGGAGCCCACCTCTGGCCGCTCTGCAGCCTGGGCCCTGTCGGGGCTCCGCAGTGCCTGGGCCTCCCCACATCACAGCTGCCTCCCCCAGGTCCTACCAAGACGAGGAGGGCCCCAAGCACTGGTCCGACGCGCGCTACGAGCACGTCATGAAGCTGCGCCAGGCGGCCCTGAAGTCTGCCCGGGACATGTGGGCTGATTACATCTTGGTGAGTTTCCGGCCCGTGGGTCACAGAAGGCGCCGGGGGTGTCCGAAGGGAAGGCAGAGCAGTGAGTGTGGAGACTCCTGAACTCTGGTTTACAGAGGGGGAAACCGAGGCACCAGAGGGGGTGTGAGCTGTCAGAGGTGATCCCGCTGGTTAGGTGGAGGATTTGGGATTCAACCAGGGGACCCTGGGCTCCTAACCACCAGATGTGTCCCCCATCGTCCTCTGTGGTTGGACACTCGGTTCATCTCTGCTTTTATCGCCATCGTGAGTTGTGAGGAGCAGCTATCGGGTCACCAGATCTCCACACACCCTCAGTGACACTGCCTGGGTCACTGCAAGAAGCAGGAAGGTGGGTTGGGGACGGGGAACTTGGTGACGCTGAACTGCTGAATCCTGGTTTTCGCTTCCTCCTCCTGGGGCAGTTTTGCCTCTGGGAAGGCGGGACGTTGAGTGTTCACGTTGGATAAGTGCCCCCAGGTCCTGGGCCTTCCTGTTTCCTTGACCTGGGCATGATTCCCTCCCCTGGTGCAGATGGGGAGGGAGTTGATGACAGGGAGGTCATGTTGTGATGCCAGTCTGGCTGGTTTTGTGTATGTCCAGGCCCTGAGTTGAAGTCTGTACCTTTTTTATTTATCAATCAACACACATTTATGAGCCCTTACCAGTGCCCTCCTGCCGAGGCCTGGGGACACAGGCTGAGCCCCACCTTGCTGGTGTCCCGGGAAAGGTGGATGTGACCGGAAAAACCAAACTGAGAGGCACCATCAGAAGGCAGCCGGTGCTGAGAAGTTGTAGACAGGCGTTTGGTGGTAAATCAGTGTCCGGGGGCCCCTGGGACAGAGCCCCACACGCTGGGGGACTGTGTTCTGGGAAGTGTATTATCTCAGTTCTGGAGGCTGGAAGCCTGAAATCCAGGTGTCAGCAGGGCTGTGCTCCCCCTAAAAGCTCCAAGGGAGGGTCCTTTCTGCCTCCTCCAGCTGCAGGAGGCTCGGGCATCCTTGGCTTGTGGCTGCATCCTCCAGTCTCTGCCTTTGTGGTCACATGGACTTCTCTCCTGTGTGTCTCTTCTCTTCTTCTGAGGTCACCAGTCATTGCATGTAGGGCCCACCCTAGTCCAGTACGACCCCATCTTACATTTTTACTAAATCTGCAAAGACCGTATTTCCAAATAAGGCCATAGCCACAGATACCAGGAGTTAGGACTCCCAACATTCGACCTCCAACAGATGGCCTAGCCAGGGTGGGGTGATGAGTGAGCAGGGTTGGGTGGGCCTTCCTTAGGAGGGGACCCCAGCAGAGATCTGAAGGAGCAACGGAGCCAGCCTTAGGGGAAGCTGGAGGACAGTGTCTGAGGCAGAGGGAACAGCAGGCAGCAAGCTTTGGGTGTTCAAGGACTGTGAGGAGGTGAGTGTGGCTGGAATGGCCTGATGAGGGAGCGGTGGAGGGGGTGATACCGAGGTGGTGGGTGGGGGCTGGCCTATGGAGGTTGAGGGAAAGATTTGGTTTTCACTCTGATGGTAGTAGGGAGCCACGGAAGGTATGTAAGCAGGGGAGGGCTGTGTTCTAATTTATAATTCTCAGAGCCCCTGTCCAGGAGTGGCGACAGCAAGAGGCTGGGGTGGAGGCCTGAGGGATGGGGCTGTGGAGAAAGGCAGATAGGTTCAGGCCCTGCTTGGGGACTAAATGTGAGGGTGCCAGGAGGCTCCCAGGCCCCTGGCCTGAGCCCTTTCGGGAGAGAGGTGTCCCCTGGGAAGAGGAGGTCTTCTCCTGGGCCCAGTAGGTTGTTACTTCCTGAGACCATTTTACAGATGGGAAAGTAGAGGCCCGGAGAGGGAGGTTTCAGCTGGCTGGGCTGGCACAGAGGTAGGACTGGCCCTGCCTGGCGCCATCCTGCATGGGGTCGCCGCGTCTGTTTGGTTTTCATGGTTTGAGGTTGACTGGTTTTCACTTTTCCCCTCAGCAAACCTAGGTAGAACGCCAGGTTCCATGGTTGGTTCAAAACTCAAAGCAGCTTTTGACACACCGTGTCATTTTTTAAATCGGGGACTTTGGACGTCTGTATTGGGATGTGAAATCACTTGTCCAGTGTTTTAAAGTTATTGTTAAAAGGGCCTCTTTTTTTCTTCTCTTTTTACAAACGCTATCGGCGTTGCTTGTAAGAAAATCTAGAAGAAAAAATAAGGAGTTTAGGAAAGAAGGAAACAAACCTCGTAATCTTACCTTTCAGAGAGACTGAAATTGAGGTGCAATTTACAGAACATAAAATTAGCCTTTTAAACCATGTAATCGAGTGGTTTCTGGCACATTCACAGTGTTGTACAACCATCATCCCTGTCTAGTTCCAGAACATCCCATCATCCCCAAACAGTCACCCCCACGCCCCCTCCCTCCCGTCCTGGCAGCCACTGTCTGCTTTCCGGCTCTGGACTTGCCAGTTCTGGGCACGTTGTGTACATGGAGTACACAGCACGTGGCCTTCAGGGTCTGGCTTCTCTCCGCATGTTTTCAAGGTTCATCCATGTTGTAGCGTAAGTGCTTCTGTCCTGTCCATGGCTGAGCGATACTCCACTGTGTGGCCGGGCCCCGTTTTGGTTATCCAGTCATCTGTTGTTGGACACTGACATTGTTTCCACCTCCTGGCAATTGTGAATCCTGCTGTTTTGAACATAGGTGTTCACGTATCTGTCGGAGTCCCTGTTTTTAGTTCTCTTGCTCTATCCTCAGGGATGGACTTGCTGAGTCACATGATAACTATGTTCCTAACTTTTTGAGGACCTCCTGGACTGTTCCAGCTGCTTTTTAAAAAATATATATATTTTATTGATTTTTTTACAGAGAGGAAGGGAGAGGAATAGAGAGTTAGAAACATCGATGAGAGAGAAGCATCGATCAGCTGCCTCCTGCACACTCCCTACTGGGGATGTGCCTGCAACCAGGGTACATGCCCTTGACCGGAATCGAACCCAGGACTCTTCAGTCCCCAGGCTGACGCTCTAACCACTGAGCCAAACCGGCTAGGGCCCAGCTGCTTTTACTGCACATATATCCAGAGGCCAGAATGTAAATGTCCTCAGGGGGCTGGGTGGGGAACAGACACACCTGCGCAGCCTGTCCCAGGGCTGCCCCTCCTGTCTCCAGCTGAGGGTCCCGTGCGGCATGCTGTTCCGTGGTGCCAGAGAAGCCTGGAATACCAGTGTTTGCTGTTCTTTACCTCAAGTGACTCAAATGCTCTAAAAAGCCCCTGTGAGTAACAGAATGCATCTTTTTAAAAAATATATTTTATTGATTTTTTACAGAGAGGAAGGGAGAGAGATAGAGAGTCAGAAACATCGATGAGAAACATCGACCAGCTGCCTCCTGCACATCTCCCACTGGAGATGCGCCCGCAACCCAGGTACATGCCCTTGAACGGAATTGAACCTGGGACCCTTCAGTCCACAGGCCGATGCTCTATCCACCGAGCCAAACCGGTTTCGGCTATTAATTACATTTTATATGTGATGTCTTCAGACTGTAAAAATCAGTATTCACTAAAGGTGTGAATAGCTTCCCCATATGTGGTTGATACATAGGTACTACAGTCACATTACTTGAGAGGTTATTTTATTTAGGTTTTCAAGCCCACAACCCAGGCATATGCTCTGACTGGAAATCGAACAGTGACCTCCTGGTTCATGGATCGATGCTCAACCACTGAGCAACACTGGCCTGGCCAGATGCATGTTTTTTGCCTGTCCAGATGCATTTTTTTTTTATTAATTTCAGAGAGGAAGGAAGAGGTAGAGAAAGAGATAGAAACATCAGTGATGACTGAGAATCGTTCATCAACTGCCTCCTGCACGCCCCAACATTGGGATCGAGCCTGCAACCCTGGCATGTGCCCTTGACCGGAATTGAACCCAGGACCCTTCAGTCTGCAGGCTGACGCTCTGTCCACTGAGCCAAACCAGCCAGGGCCAGATGCATTTCTTAAAAACCATCTCCTAATCGTTCTGTACGGGACCTGCACGACAGAAACATCCTTACCTAATTGTTCCAAACTTTTTTCTTTGTAACAAACAAATTACCATTTTTTTTACCCCAACGTTCAAGGTGTTAAAGCAAAATAAAGTATCTATTTTTGTGAACTTTTTATTGGCATCTAACTCACAGAGAAAAATGTGTATTCCTCTCAGAGGTGGCCTCTGTTCCACCCCTCCTCTTCACTGACCAGCTGCCTGTTGTAAAAGTTCCCACTGATGGAGCCACATGACCCTCCCCCGTCATGCCCGGTATCTCGACAGCGCCATGCCTGGGACCCATTTGTGTTTCTGTGCGCCATGTGGTCCATTCCTGCCCCTTCCGTAGGAGCCCGTTTCTTTGCGTGGCTGTAACTTGGCTTGTCACTAAGGTAGAGCTGTGGGTTGGGGCACCAGATGGTTCTTCAGACCCCAGGACGCTGCCTCTGCCCCATCATTCCGCGCTGTGGCCCAGCCGGTCCCTCCAGCAGCTCCCAGGGACGTCCTGTTGGATGTTTTGTAGTTTGTGGACGCAGACAACCTGATCCTGAACCCTGACACGCTGACGCTGCTCATCGCCGAGAACAAGACGGTGGTGGCGCCCATGCTGGATTCCCGGGCTGCGTACTCCAATTTCTGGTGTGGGATGACTTCCCAGGTCAGGCGCCTGCTTGGGTAGCGCAGGGGGCTTGGGGTGCTGGGGGCTGGGCCAAGCAAGTGGGGGCCGAACTTATCACACCAGCTCATGGTGAGTGTTCACACCTCCGTAGACAGTCCACACAGTAGGGAGTGGTGGTGCCCGGATGGGGCGGCAGGCACGGCTTGATTCAGACGTTCAGACAGCCTTCCTGTCTTCCTCCATCCTGGACGGCTTCATTCTCAGACCCTGGGGAACATCCCAGCAGCTTCCCGCTGAAGTCCTCCCGGCCTGGCCTTGTCCGTCTCTCCTCCCACCCCCGGACCAGTTTCTGAAGCCAAGAACTCTTTATTTTTGTTTTTAGTTGTAGGCCAGTTTAATGTTAAAACCCTTTTCAGCTTTTAAATTTCCTCCTTCATAGGCTGCCTTTCTGATCGGAAGTGTGGGGCCAGGTCTGCAAGTAGACAACCGTTTTTCTTTTATCGGCCATTGTCCCGTTAGCCCGTGTGCGGGGGGCGGAGCCTGTCACTGACCACGCCCAGAGCACGGTGCTCAGGGAGGCCCACCCTAGGCCGGAGTTGGCACCCGGGCCTCGCTCTCTAGGTGTTCCGTGTCTCTCATCCTGGGTCGCAGGCCTCCTCCCCTCAGGGGACCCATGCAGAACTCCGCCCCTCCCCCGCAGGGCTACTACAAGCGCACGCCCGCCTACATCCCCATTCGCAAGCGGGACCGCCAGGGCTGCTTCGCGGTCCCCATGGTGCACTCGACCTTCCTGATCGACCTGCGGAAGGCGGCGTCCAGGAGCTTGGCGTTCTACCCTCCACACACGGACTACACCTGGGCCTTCGATGACATCATCGTTTTCGCCTTCTCCTGCAAGCAGGCAGGTGAGCCCTGGGGGGTTGCTGTCCCGGGGATGTCATCTGGTCGGTTCTCTGGAATCTGAGCTGAACATCTCCCCGCAGAGGCCACGGAAGGCCCACAGAACCAGAACGCGCACAGGGTCCGGGTGGCTGCAGGTGGGGGTGTGTCCAGGTGCTCAGATGGTGGCCACAGACCCATTCTTTCTCTAGCCCTGGCTTTGCGGAGGGTCTTCGCCTCCCAGGCCTAAAGGGGACCTACTTATGGAAGGTTATTTCCAACTTAATATTTTCTTACATTCTCCCAATTTTCCGTGGTTGAACGTAACCGCTCCCTAATTGTATAATTAGTGAAAAAGCCCTTTAGAGAGAACGAGAACACAGCCGTATGCTAACCCACCATTTACTTTAAATCAAGGGTCATTAGCCAACGGCGGCCAGCAGGCCAGATCTGACCCTCCATCTGTTTCTGTATGGCTACAAGCTAAGAATGGCTTTTATGTCTTTAAACGGTTGGAAGAAAACACGAAGAGAATAGTAATAGTTTGTGACATCTGAAGCTGCATGAAGTTCAGATTTCGGTGCCTATCGGAGAGGTTTCACTGGCACGCTGCCACACCCGAGTATTTAAGAGTGGTCTGTGGCTGCCTCCACATCCCAAGGGCGGGGTTGAGTTAAGACAGACTGTCAGGCCAGCAGCCTAAAAGATCTATACCAGTGGTCGGCAAACTGCGGCTCTTTGGCCCCTTGAGTGTGGCTCTTCCACAAAATACCACGTGCTGGTGTGCACATACAGTGTGATTGAAACTTCGTGGCCCATGCGCAGAAGTCGGTATTTCTAGATTAAAAATTTAACTTATTATTGATACATATGGGGTTATCTATGATCTAGACGAGTGGTTGGCAAACTGTGGTTTGCGAGCCACAGTTTGCTGACCACTGATCTATACCATCTACCCTCATTATGTAAAAGCTAGCCAGTTAAAGTGAAAATTATTTTCATTGACTTACTCTATCCACTGAGCCAAACCGGTTAGGGTGGCTTATTAACTTTTTAAAATACATACTCAGTATAAAAATTTAAACCATCCAGAAAAAGACAAATGCAGATGGAGGTCACCTTACTGACATTTTATCCAACTGCATCCCATTTTTGTGCAGAAATGTGCAACTGCCCCAGCCAGTTTGGCTCAGTGGATAGAGCGTTGGCCTGTAGACCGAAGGGTTCTGGGTTCGATTCCTGTCAAGGGCACATGCCTCAGTTGCAGGATCCTCCCCGGCCCGGGCTCTGGTCAGGGCATGTGCAGGAGGCAACCAATCGATGTGTTTCTCTCACATCGATATTTCTCTCTGTCTTTCCTTCTCTCTTCTGCTCTCTCTAAAAGTCAATGGAAAAATATCCTCGGGTGAGGATTTTTAAAAAAAGAAAAAGACATGTGCATCTTTTTTATTTTTAATCCTCACCAGAGGACATGCTGAGAGAGAGAGGGAGAGAGACATTGATGTGAACAAGAAACATTGACTGGTTGCCTTCTGTACCTGCCCCGACCGGGAAACAAACCTGATACCTGGGTATGTGCCCTGACCGAGAATCGAACCCTCACCTCCTGGTTCATGGGTTGACACTCAACCACTGAGCCACACCAGCCGGGCATAAGGTGCTTTCTAACAGTTCTGATTGTCAGTGTCTCGCCTGCCAGCGGGAACCCCTGTTCTGACTCCAAGTCCCAGGTGGAGGTCTGAGGGGTTTCTGCTGGTTGCTGGGAAAAGCGGGTGGGACTCCTTGACTTTCCACCCCACACTGGGCTGTGAGGCTGACGCTGTGGTCAGACGTGGCCACTGCCACCTTGTAGCTCAGTTTTCAGTTTTGATTGTTGTTCTTGGCCCCAGAGGTCCAGATGTACGTGTGCAACAAGGAGATGTATGGCTTCCTGCCAGTGCCGCTGCGGTCATATAGTACCCTCCAGGATGAGGCTGAGAGCTTCATGCATGTGCAGCTGGAAGTTATGGGTGAGTCCGTCCACACTGCCCTTTCTCTGTCATCACACATCCATACCCTGAACACTGATTGAGCACCTGCTGGGTGCTAGTGCCTTTGCCAGGCACGGGAACTTGGCATGAACAAGGTGGACAGTTGTCCCTGCTCTCAGGGAGCACTGCCTTGCAGTAGCTGTGCATGGCAGTCAGGGTGGGCTTCCAGGAGGAGGTGACATTAAGAGGCAGAGTGAGTAGTAGTTAGCCAGAAGCGGATTATAGCCAGAGGGAGCATCCTGCAGACTGGGAGGCTAGGGGGACACGAGCTCAGGGAGAGGCAAGGTCAGCGGGGGCAGAAGTGGGGCTGCTGAGCGGGTAGAGCTGGTGGGCCAGGGCAGCGGCCTTAGGCACTGCTTTCCTCAGGGGCAGTCAGGAGCCATGGAGGGTCTGGGAGCAGGGAGGACAGAAGGTTTTCACTGATGAACCTTTATGTGCAAACCTCAGACCCATTACGTATTTAATACATATCGTATGTGTATACTTTTGTTTTACTTGAATACATCTATTTTAAAAAGGGAATTACGTATTTTTTACCATAGTTGCAAGCTCATGTCTTTCCAGTAAATAAATCTATAAATTATTAAACTAGCAGCCCTACCTCTGGTGGCCCCGAGATGGGTTGAGCACACAGCTGCCATCAAGTTGCCCCGAGCTGCCATCAAGTTGCTCAAGGAGCGGCCTCCTGGTGGACGTGGGGTGTCTCCAGAACAAGAGGACAGTGGGACAGTGTCACTTCTGGGGGGCTCTGCCCTCCACTGGCCACACATTTCAGAGAAGGCCTGCAGAGCAGCACCCTCACCCCCCACTGCACAGATGGGGAGGGTCCAGGCTCCTGCTGTTGGTCTCAGTTGCCCCACTCTTACCCACTTCTTCTGGAAGGTTCTGTGTGTGTGTGTGTGTGTGTGTGTGTCCCTGGTGACTGAAGGTGGAATGGCACACTCCCTGCACAATACCCCAGTGTCTGTCACATGCAGATGCTCAGGCCTAGGCCAGGAGCCCCCCTGGGCCACTGTCACGAGAGAGAGGCCTCTGCTTGTCGCCCACTCCCGCCTGCGGCTGGACCCTGGAGCCTCCCTGTGGCTGCCATGGTTTTCCTCATTTATTTATTTATTTATAAATATATTTTATTGATTTTTTACAGAGAGGAAGGGAGACAGAGAGTTAGAAACATCGATGAGAGAGAAACATCGATCAGCTGCCTCCTGCACATCTCCTACTGGGGATGTGCCTGCAACCCAGGTACATGCCCTTGACCGGAATCGAACCTGGGACCTTCCAGTCCGTAGGCCGACGCTCTATCCACTGAGCCAAACCGGTCATGCCGGCTCTCCTCATTTAAATTTCACCTCTATTTCTGTTACTGTTTCTGGCGAAGAAGCCGTTAACACTGCTGCTATACTCCCCCGTGACAGAGGCACGAACGCCCTCCTGTTTCTTTCTTGAGGCCCAGAGCTGAGCACACAGAACAGATGGGGGGAGGCCCGGGGGGTTCAGATATGTGTGTACATCCTTCCTCTGTTAAAGCACGGTTCCTCTCCGTCCGCGTGTGGGGACCCGGACCTGGGCCGAGCAGGGGTTTTCAGGTGTCCGGAGATCTCTCTCACAGTGAAGTTTCAGAGCAGAAAGGTTCAGGGTGACACGATCCCACCTCCCACTGGCACTTCTCTCAGCACTCACCCCGCCCCCAATGGGGGGTTGAGCTGAGGGTCAGACGAGAAGGGATGGGCACCGGGATTGGGGCCTGTGTCCCGAGATCCCCAAGTCTTGCCCTTGGTGTCAGCCGTCCAAGGAGAGTGGGGTGCCCAGGAGCTGCCGGACTCTGGGGGGAGGAAGCCCTGGGGCGTGGTGGCCTTGGAGGAGGCCCAGGCTGTGAGGAGGAAGGTTCTGGGTCAGGTCTGGGCCTTGTCCAGGTCTCTTCCAGACAGAGGGCCCTGTGTTTGTCCCTTGCACTCACACGGGGCCTTTCTTCTTGGTGAAGCAGACACCACACTTGGAATCCAGCTGGGCTTTTCTGGGCAGCCTGGGGCGGGGGGGCAGGCAGGGGCATCTGCAGGCTCATGTGTACCTGGAAGTCTGGCCCTTCTGGGGGAACCACAGGCATATATATGCCAGGATCGCTGTGGGGATGTGGTCTGAGCAGCTCATGAGGAGCAGTTATGACCGCTCTGACGTTCGGGGCTCACCTTGGCCTGGAGACGTGTCACTTGGTCAGATGGCCGTCTTCTCCTCTAAGTGTCTCTGTGTCCACATTTTCCATTAAAAAAAAAACACCTCACCTGAGGATATGTTTTTATGGATTTTTAGAGAGAGGAGAGGGGAGAGAGAGAGAAACATTGGTATGAGAAACATCAAATATCGGTCAGTTGCTTCCTGTAGATGTCCTGACTGGGAATCAAACCCACAGCCTTTTGGTATTGGGATGATGCTCCAACCAACTAAGCCACCTGGCCAGTCAAATTTTCCATTTTTTTTTAAGTTTTACATATGAATGCAGTCCACAGGCCAACGCTCTATCCATTGAGGCACACCAGCCAGGGCCAAATTTTCCATTTTTATCCGGGTCCCAATCATAGTGATTAGGGCCCAGGCTAACGACCTCGTTCTACCCTGAACACCCCTGTAAGCACCGTTTCCAAATAAGGGCACATTCTGGGGTCCTGGGGGTTTGGACACCAACTGAACTGCGGGAGGATGCCTGCGATTTAGCCCATGCAAGTGTGACTTCATGGCATCATTTAGTTCAGTCCACAGGCCAACGCTCTATCCATTGAGGCACACCAGCCAGGGCCAAATTTTCCATTTTTATCCGGGTCCCGATCATAGTGATTAGGGCCCACGCTAACGACCTCGTTCTACCCCGAACACCTCTGTAAGCACCGTTTCCAAATAAGAACATATTCTGGGGTCCTGGGGGTTTGGACACCAACTGAACTGTCTGCGGGAGGATGCCTGCCGTTCAGCCCACGCAAGTGTGACTCCATGGCATCATTTCATGAATAACCTCTGAGGTGTTATCAGCCCATTTTATAGATGAGGAATCTGAGGCCCGGGTAGGTCAAGGCCATTCATCCTTGGTTCATTCTATGAGCAGTTATTGAGCGCCTGCTGTATGCTGAGCCCTATGTTGGGCGCTGGAGACCCAGTGTGCGTGGACAGACTTGGTGTTCATTTCACGGGGCTCACAGTAGACAGCGAGTTAGGATAGCAGGGTGGAGGTTTGATGATGGAAGCCCCAGTGCTGTGGGGAGCGGGAAGAGGTGCCTGACTCAACCTGAGGGCAGGGGGAGACTCACCCCTCCTCAGCATGGCATCTTAGCTGAGAACTGGGGTAGGGGGAGGAGGAAGGAAGGGTGTTCCAGGCAGAGGCTCAGCATGTGCAAAGGTTCTGAGGTAGGAATGGATGAGGTTGGTGTGCTAACAGCCGGCGTGAGTAGGAGGTGAGGGAGAGCCTTCCCACCAGGATTATGGTTGGGGACAGGTCAGGCAGTTCTCCAACCTCAGGCTGATATGGAGCCGTGGAGGGGATGCGGAGGGCGCAATGGAAAGAGGTTGGAATGCTCCCCCCACCGCACCCCCTGACCCAAGCCACCCCTCGGCTTCTTTCTGCCCCGCAGTGCGGGAGGGGGAAGGGTGGGGAACTTAGGGCTGGAGAGTCCAACAGGCTCTGTGCCACAGGTCTTCATGATCAACCTGAAGCGGCGGCAGGACCGGCGGGAACGCATGCTCTGGGCGCTGTGGGCGCAGGAGATCAAGGTCCGGCTGGTGGAGGCTGTGGATGGCAAGTGAGTCCGACTCTGAGGGCAGGGGTGTAGACCGTGCCCTGGGGCCATGGGTGCCAGCTGGGCCCTACCCTGGGGAGGGGTATGGGCCGTGCCCTGGGGCCATGGGTGCCAGCTGGGCACTACCCTGGGGAGGGGTATAGACCGTGCCCTGGGGCCATGGGTGGCAGCTGAGCCCTACCCTGTAGACCATGCTGGGATGTAGACCGTGCTGATGGGGCCCTGGTGGAGGGGAAGTGAGTCTGACCCTAGGGGAGGGCCGACAGAGCCACACTTGGGTGGCCCGCCCCCTGCAGACCTGGCCGCAGGTCCAGGAGGGGCGCCAGTAGTTGAAGAGGGAAGCAGCCGCTCAGCAGGAGGGCACTAGCCAACGGTGGAGTAGCCGGCAGCATGGGTTGTCCACTGACCCCTTCCTGTGCCCCCTTCCAGAGCCATGAACACCAGCCAGGTGGAGGCACTGGGCATCCAGATGCTGCCCGGCTACCAGGACCCCTACCATGGGCGGCCCCTCACCAAGGGAGAGTTGGGCTGCTTCCTCAGCCACTATAACATCTGGAAGGAGGTGAGTCCAGTAGGGCAGGGTCCTCCTCGGCCTTCGCACAGCTCAGGGAGGGCATTGCTTGCCCCCCAGGCAGGCTCCCAGGCTGCAGCAGGACCCAGGGCCCCTCTTTAGGGAATGTCCTTCCATTGTGTAGATATGGACACTGAGACTGGGGAAGGGGAGGGGAGAGCCCAGTTTCCAAGTGTGTCCTCTTCACCCCTAGCTTCTTTCAGCTGTCTAGAGCCTGCACTCTGGTCTTGACATTTACTGATAGATGTAGCAGCCATGGTGACATTAACTGGCACAGAGCCCACGCCAGGGGTGGCGCATTAGCCCTGGGGCTCATCAGCGACACTCGGAGAGAGAGGCTGTGGTAGGTGGGGGTGCCAGGCTGGGATTCGAACCTGGGACTACAGGCACGAAGCCAGATGCGGTGTCCAGATGCAGGTGGAAGGGGGTGTTCAGGGGTTTCAGGCAATGAGTGCTCACTTAGGTTGCCCTCTTTTTCTGAGATTCATTGTGGGTGGCATGGGGCAGAGGTGGTGGTGTCCACGTGGCCCTGGGTTTAAGTCCAGCCCTGCCTCTTAGAGGGCTGAGCCCTGTGAGCAGGAAGGCTCTTCCCAGCCTGAGCTTCAGTTTCCCCATATGACAGTCATGGCCTCCGGGGGCCGTCATAAAGATTCAGGAAACATTTGCCAAGCACCTACTGTGCACCTGGCCTGGTGCTGGTGCTGGGGACATGATAGCCACCGGGACAGACCCAGCCCCCTGCAAGGGGCTCACAGCCCTGGGAAGTGGGTGGACTGATGATAAGCCACAAAGAAACAAATCAGAGTGAAATAAGTGAGATACATCTTGAGAAGGGACCTAGGGCTATGAATTGTCCTCAACTGGCAGCTTTGGATGGTGGTTGGGAAGGAGCTCCTGGGTGGGCGACATTGGAGCTGAAGCCTAAAGGGTGAGAGGTAGTCTGCCTGCCATTGCATGAGGGAGAGGGCTGTGTCAGCTCAGCCCCAGGCCTTGGAATGGGAGGAACAGCCAGGCTTGGGCATGTGTTGTTGAATGTTCTAGAAAGTGGTAGCCCGAGGGGAAGTCAGTCCAGACAGTGGCGGCGAAGGGTGCATTTTCTTCTCACCTGCTGCCCCAGAGCCTTCAGGCTGAGCTGGCTTCAGGGTTAGGCCTGGCCCTGTTCTCCCTCAGGTCGTGGAGAAGGGACTGAAGAAATCGCTGGTCTTCGAGGACGACCTGCGCTTCGAGATCTTCTTCAAGAGGCGCCTGATGAACCTCATGCGGGATGTGGAGAGGGAGGATCTGGACTGGGACCTCATGTGAGTATGGGGCCTGGGGGTGGGGCCATGCCACGAGGTGTGGCCTGGGGCAGAGGCAGAACTGGGGCGTGGCCAGAGCCCAGGGATAAAGTATGGGGTGGGGTGGATTTGGGGCCTGAGGTAGGGCCAGAGTTCAGAGGTGTGGTCTGGGGCTAGGGCTCTGGGGCCTGGTGTGGAGTGGGTTGGGGCTGAGGTTGGGGCCAGGGCTCGGGCATTGTCTGGAATGGGTGGAACTGCAGCCGGGTGGGAGCTCAGAAGAGCATCTGTGCCTGAAGGTATCTGGGGGGGACTCGCTGGGCCAGCTCTTGGAAGTATGGCAGGAGTGCTCTGTGTGTGTGTGGCTGTGTGAGGGCGGAGCTGAGGGTAGTCAGGGCTCGGCGTGGCCTCGGGCCTGTGGGGTAGGACTGGGAGGATGACCTGGAAGTCTAGGGCCCTGGGTGTGGGGATGAGGCCTCCTCAGGGCTTGGAGACTGGAGGTGCCCTGTGGTGGGTGGGGTGGCCAAGGAGCTGGGGGTGTGGCCTGAGGTAGGTGTGGTCAGGACTTGGTAGCTCAGAGCTGGCCCAGTGTGGGAAGTAGCCAGGGAGCCTGGGTCTTAGCCTAGCACTAGGGCAGGTGTGCCCAGCATATCTCTGGAACAGTTCTTTGGGATCTCATATGGGGGTGGGGGGGTTTCCTCCTCCCCCGCCCCTCTCTCCCTGCAGTGTGCAGGGCCCTGCCTGTGTGAGGGCGGAGCTGAGGGTAGTCAGGGCTGGGGCGTGGCCTCGGGCCTGTGGGGTAGGACAGCGGGAGGATGACCTGGAAGTCTAGGGCCCTGGC